AAACCCAATTCCAATCAGTCATCCAGGTCCAGTACTACTAAGCAAGTTTCTCAACTTTTGTTGGGCGTGGTGGGCACATTGTGTTTCAAGATAATGATCTTCTCTCCATTTCATAAAGAATGTGGAGGGAGAAGCCCAAAAAGTGCTACCTTTGAAACAATGAGAATGCTTATGGGCAAGGAAGGGTAGAGTTGGATCCAGAGGTTTTTTAAACAAGAAAAGTTGGTTTTGTTTAGGAAACAGGAGCACAAGAACATATCTAGACTATAACCATGGAAACTCTGACTAAACATGACAAAATCTAAGAAAAACACCACAAAAGCACGTAAAAACCACACCCGCATAACGTCGAGCTCTCTATTATTTGGTATACTATAAGTTTCCCCCTGAGAAGGGGGAAACGAAAGCCAGTGGAAGGTCACGTTGGACCCGCATGCTTTTTGTCATGAAAAGTCAATCGACCTACAGTAATTAGAGTTCCAGCTTGAGGTCATCCACTCTCCACTCCCTGGAAACTTCGGTCTCGGCCGCGGACTTCGATTTCCAAACTGGTGCCATCCATTTTATATCAACATCTTTTCTACAACGAGGTGCCCCAACAAACTGATGATGCAAGTGACCCAAATGCCCTTGTTGAAGCATGTTGAAACCATGACCAAAGCACCACCAAACTGACCTCCCCCATACTGTAGGTGCAAAGGACACAGGGTGCGTGGTGATTGATCAACATGTGAGGAAGTTTCTCTCCATGTCTGACTGATCCTGTGTTTAATTTAGAACGCCTCTTGATATTGGCAAATCCTTTCATTCTTTGGCCCCTACGCCACGGGGTATGTTCAAGAAGCCTTGCAGCCATCACTGTGACCATCAGTTCTTCGGTCTTCGGCGCTGCTCCCCGAGCGCTCGCGGCCACGGTCGGGTCTCCGGAGCCGATCGGACGTGGGACACGCCAAGGGCTGAAGACCCAACATCGCACCCAAAACGTACCACCTTTCGTACCACCGGTAGTCTGTTGTTTCGTGGCCGGTCCGAAAACGGTTCCCCTCCCAAAAAACAACTAAAGGGTGCTAGACATGATCCATGCTGGTGATCCGCTGTTCCTGAAAACCCGCCCGTGGCGCCTTCGAGTGCCCTCGTTAGAAGCTGCTGGGCTTCGACCCGATGTGTCTCCTCGGTCGGAAATCGGCGATTCCCGAAGAACGCGCTCCAAACTCAATCAGTGCCCAGTCTTTGGAAGACTCTTTTTCAGGTGACAAGTCTAATTTGGGGAGGGTATGTGTCAGAAGGTGCCTGCAAAATGGCAAAAATTCATCCGAACAACCATGAAGGATGTGCTTTTTGTCCACAGAGTCTGTCAGTTTTGTTGCTTACTGGTGTCTTCTTCGGGGGTATCGGCTTGATGGACACACTGACAGGGTTGGGGAGACAGGGTGGGGGGCGGGATTGACGACTTCGATCTTTCTGGAGGTCGATCTGCTACTCGAGTCCAGTTCTGCCTCCAACGGGCGTCCGCAAAAAAAGGATTATCCGGGATAACCCGCAGTAAATGAATGTACACTCCCTGAAACAAACATGGAAGTGGACAATCCTCTAGTATCCCACTTCCCTGATTGTTGGGAGGGTCGGGATTGGGTCATGTCAGGGGTCGAAACATGCTTCCAGGACTTCCCGCACCGAACCTGTTTTGCCTGTATCAGTGAGCTGCCAGTCCCGGTCTGAACGCTGTGGTGCGGAAAGAATCGATAGTGAGCTCTTAATTTCCTGGTTCTTCAAAGTGACCTTTTGATAACCTGGTTTGAGGTCACTTAAGCCTCCTAAGGGTCACTTATAGGAACCTTCAAAAGGTCGCTTTGAAGAAGCTGGCTGTGGTCTGAAAACTTGCCCAACAACAACACATTGTTATACAGTCGTTTCAGAGTAGATGACAACCCATCACAATCCCCAAAAGGTGGTTGGTTGATATGGATCCCCATCTAAAAAGACATTTTGGGGGTTGTGCCATCTACTCTGAAAACACTGCAATCGTGCCCTGAGATGTCGGCTGGGAAAACAGGTGGGCCCGCAGTGCTTTGGATGGACTCTGCACTTTGACCGTGAGCATGCTACAAACCAAAGTACCCTCATGCACTTTGACCGATAAAGAGCTATATGATGCTATATGATGATGCTATATGTAAGCTATACATTGTTGCACAGTCGCCGGGCTAACAGCATTTGGACGGCGTGCCCCAAACTCTGGACCGGTGTGCCCACCGTCTGAACGCGTTTCGAATACTCTGCGCCGAAGCTCTGCGACGAAGGACTCCACCCAGGGCCTTCCCAGGGCCTGCGGCGGGCGAACCGTTCGACCCAGCAGGATCGTTCTGGGCTCAAAGTGGTGAAGATCGGAGCTGGGAGCGGTACTGGAGGTGCAAAAAATTTCTGCCCTCTTGAGAGATTTTTGTTGGCCTAAGCCAAGGTTAAACACACAACCAAGGGAAGCAAACGAACAGGCAAAGTTTGGATGCGCAAGCCAGTTTTTCAACGTAGTTCAAGATGTTCCAGCTTGGCCTTTCACATTCTGTGTGCAAAATCCAATTGTTGTGAAGACCATTGACCAAAACTACTCGGTTCTCACGTATGAAATATGGCAACGCATCGTTGGCCGGCCCGCCCACGAAGTACAAGGACCGTCCCCATGTCTCACCCCGGTGTCGCGTAGCTAACCACGACAATGAAACAGTAATGTTGGTCCTTCTGCGTGAGCGTGCCAGTAGCCAAACATAACAGTTGAAGAAAACCAAACATGTTCAAACAGTCAAGAACCTTGAGATCAACCAGCTCATACAAATCACACATCTTTCATACTTTCATGTCCAATCTTCACATCTCCCTCTCGTGCATAGTCCGAAACACAAGAAGCACGCGTTTTCGCCGTGCCAATCGCCGGTCTTCCAGCGCTTAAGTTGTTGAAGACGAAAAAACGCTGCGGAGAGTGAAGGTGTCCCCACCGAAGCCCCAATCATTTCTTTACCCGAAGCCTCAAGGCACTTGCTGTACAATCCCATATATACTATACACGTATCCAGCTGGGGCAGGTGAGATCCCCTGAAGAATGAGGAGCCTGGGATCCATGGAATCCAAATCCACTAGTCACAAGACAGAAGACAATTATACCCAGCACCACGGAAAGGGTGTCCATTAATAGCCCCTTAGAGGTCAAGGGGTGTCCATTAACCACCCCTTGGGGGTTCAGGACAATATTACATACGTCCTCGCTGCCAATTCACGGTGACATGTTTGTCTCAAGTTGGACTCCAAGAGCGTGGCCTTGCTTTGCCCACAAAAACAATTGGCAATACATTTGGTGACCTACAGGGGTTGGTGATGGTCTGACGAAAATGGGGGAACAGTTGAACATGCAGCCATTGGTTGCAAAGTGTTGGAAGGCGGGGTGTGCAGAAATCCACTCTTGGCTTACACACTGTGTCTGTGTGTGTGCATCGAACACCTTAGCAACTCCAAGCAGTGGCTTTGAATTCCAAGGGTGACCAATCCCTTTGTGAGTCTCAACACAACGTGATTCCATATACATACCGCCATTGGAGGAAGCTTTTTGCTCCCAGATTTCTTGAGTGCCCATCCCACATCATCGATGGTCGGCTTGAACTTTCTGACGGCTGCGGCCTGCACTTCTCAGACCGACCGAGTCCCTCAGCAAAAGATTTGCCCTTCCAGTGTGGTGATGGCAGGGCCTGAAAGACCCACACGACCAGCACCTCAGCCGAGTCTCTCAGTCGTTGAAACGACCCATGCAGTGCACCGGGTCAACTCTGGGGTATCAAAATGTGCAGCCCCTCTGGCCATTTTCTAGGGCATCAAAGATATGTCATAAGTCATAACATGTCATAATTCATAACTTTATATATATATATATATACATAACTTAACTCAAAATGCCTTGTGCATCCTTGTGCGTTTAAACCGTCTGCTTTCCTTTTTCTACTGGCAGCGGGCAAAATAAGTGTATGTAATATATTATTACGTATTAAGTGGATACAAAAGATCTCAAGCAACGACCACTTTCGCGTGCGTGAACTTCTTCTATGGCCGTTTCGCAGTGTCGCCGGGCGATGGTTCCGATCGGTGCTGAAGCACCTCAAGGGGTTATCCCCATGGGCGATGGGTCCTAGAGTCCTAAATACAGAGATCTTTGAACAGCAACGATAACATGTTCCAAAATATGACATCATATATCCCAAACACTCCATGTATGCCATATATGCTTACATTGGGGTGGTTTGGGGGGTCAATGCAGGCATATATGGCATACATGGAGTGTCTGGGTATTACATGCACCAAATGAAGGGCAATCTTCAGCAATGCACTCCGTCGAACTGCCGGTGGCCCATCCGCCCTTTCGAACCTGGCCCGCTGCGCACAGCTCGATCCCCCTCTGCCGTGTTTGGCTGGGGAAGCATCACCGAGTCGGCCAACATGTCGTCCACTTCCGTCCCGAAGTGCTTGGAGAAGCACGTTTCGATTCCTCGTCATTAGCTGTGTTTGGGCACCATTCCTCTTCGATTCCCAAAGATACTTCTTCGCAAAAATCCAACGCTTCACGTCGGGTCACTGAGGCAGCACTTCACCACTCCTCCTCGGCCTGAGGCTTGAAACCCGACCAGCTCACCGTCATCCTTCGTGCCCCTGAGCTTCTGAACCCAGTAGGGTGCCAGCATGCAATGAGCGCTGCCAGTGACGGGGTCTTCTGGAATCCCGGCGCGCGGGGCGAAGAAGCGCGACCTGGAAGAGGGGGAACCAAGAAATCACTGGAGATGCCGAGCTAAGCTTTTTGGGGGGCTGACATGAGGGATCCGACCGACCAGATGTAGAGCAAAACTTCCTAGAAACCACAAAGGGGGAGAACTCATCCTGGAGATGTTCTTCAACATCCCTCGCGCAATCCCTCGCCTGAAATCTATCGTCACCCCACGGCTGCATCCGGCTCTTTCCTCATCGCAGCTGCCCGTGCATCCAGCGGTTGTGACGCAAACGCCACGGCACTCGAAGGCTGCCAAGGAGGCTTGATCAGGCTTCAACCTGGTGACAATGATGTGCAAGCGTTCTGTTCTTGCTTGTCAACCCTAGGGGCTCCTGGCCTTTCTACTAGGAACAAGAAGCTACTAGGGGCTCCTGACCTTACTACTAGGGGTTCCTGGCCTTACTTCTAGGAACAAGAAGCTACTAGGGGCTCCTGGTACTAGGAACAAGAAGCTACTAGGGGCTCCTGGCCTTACTACTAGGAACAAGAAGCTACTAGGGGCTCCTGGCCTTACTTCAAGGAACAAGAAGCTACTAGGGGCTCCTGGCCTTACTACTATAAGAAGCTACTAGGGGCTCCTGGCCTTACTACTAGGAACAAGAAGCTACTAGGGGCTCCTGGCCTTACCACTACACTAGGAACAAGAAGCTACTAGATTCCTCTAATACATCTCCCACCGAGCTGCTGATCAAAGGCCTTCGGCTCCACCTCGCACAAAAGATCGAAGCGCCCGCGCCCGCGTGCGAAGATAGCGCTTTCTGGAATACCCAAAGCCGCCGCCAGCAGTGCGCTGCTGGGGAGGTTGGCTACTTCCAGTGAAGGTGGGTCGGCTGGGAAGTCCATCTGGATCCAGCCAGCCTGGAGTTCACTCTGCAACGGATTTTCTGGTCCCCAGGAACTGCTTTGGAGTATTTGAGGATCGGCTTAGCTTGCCCCTCAGATGCATTTACATTTTGCCAAGTGTTTTTTTTGGCATTGCATTTACATCGCATTACTCAAGGGGCTGGGAGACACTGGGAGTGGTGTTGATCCGAGCCTCGGTCTGCTGACAGCTCAACGTGCCCGACGCCTTGAGAGCAAGACGCCGGAGGCTCCCAGCACTGAGACCGAGGGAGGAACAAGGGTCACAGCACTTCTGCATGCTCCCCTTGAAAGCCAAAGTAGAGTCCATAGACTATATGATGTAACTCTATATAGATATATGATATATGTACATATATGTGTTCAATACTGTTTTTGTATATGTACACATGCCTTACACACATATCTACTATATATATATATGTATAATCGCATAAATAAATATATATATATATATACACAAAACATATTACACAGTTTGTTTGCGTGCCGACGAGCACCCTCGGATTCTAGGTTAGTCTTTGAAGAAGTTGTAGGGGCAGTGACCTGTCGGAGAGTCCAAACATACATATATATATATATTATATATGTATATAGTATATAATATATGCATTACCTAGATCTTAAGTTGCTTGGGGTCAAAAAGTCGAGACTTTTTTTGG